TGGAATATTCTGGCGCTTGCTTTTGGATTTTCTTCTCTTGCTTACGCTCCACAGTAAGCCAAGGATCAAACTCATCAAGTTGATTCTCTAAAATGTGCCTAGAATTAGAAGTAGGATTAGAGACATGATTAAGACTTGCAACTTGACTACTGCTTGACCCACTTATAGAATTGGAATTTTTCAACTTGTGACTCCCCTCGTAGTAGTATTTCCAGTGACTTCATTAATGCTTGTTTGGGTTTGTGAATCGACATTACTAACTCTGGTAGTTGTAGTTGGCGGTAACTTAAATGTACAAACCTCCTTACGATGGCCAATCGGACCACACGCAAAACAAAGTCCTTTGCTCCCTTCATAAACAACTTTCTGGCAGATTTTACCCAATCGAAGGAGCTTGAAAAGGGGTTTATCCAGATCTATTCTGACACACACACGAGCATATTGACCATGTGTATGATGCGCTGTGTGGGCATCCATTCTTTGAAGGGTTCCTATTGAATTACTAATACGTTGTAGAGAAGTTAGGTCATAATACTTTGCTGAAAGACTCGACAGTTGTGCCCACACCACAGTGTGCAAAAAGGTTGCGATTTCCAGCTTGAAATTTGGTTCCCATGGTCTAATAGTAAGATAGTTTGTACCAACAAACCAAGGACTTCCATTGATGACCTTGTTGAGATCTTCATGCACCTGAAATCGAACAAGGAAAAAATCATATCCTAGATCAATGCAATCCCATTTACTTGCTAGTTTCCATTGGGTTTTAAGGCTTCCATAAAGAAAGTTATATCCTACTGTCTTGCTAGAGGTTTTAATAATGAGAGCATTTTTCCACGGCTCACGCATGTGTTTTTTTTCCTCTTTGGAGAAGAGGATAATAGGAGTAGGGTCATCTAGATCATCATCAATAGCTGATTCTTCATCTAGATATTCTAGAAAGGCATCAAATGAGAGATCCATATCGGAACTTTTAGTACTGCCATCGCAGAGCAATTTATCTGTATAGGACAGGGGATTAGCTTCAACTTTTGCCATATGCTCTTCTTGAGTGGAAGCAGAAACAATCGAATTGACATTCTTAACCCTTTTAACACTCCAAGCAAGAAGATCATTCTCTTGAGAAGAGGGGAAGATCAAAGAGAGAGCGTTCGAAATCGCCATAAAAAATTTTTGATATCTGTTGTTCTTTCACCTATCACTATTATATTTTAAGTCTATTGTATATGTAATTAAATAGTTAAAGATGATAAATATGAGTTTGTTAGTGCTTAGATTAGCTATGTGTAAAATTAACTAACAATTATTGAAAGATATCAAACTAATTAAATTCCTCTAACAAAGAACTAAAATCATTAATGTACACAAATAAATTATAATAAAGAAAATGCATCAATTAAAGCAAATGATCAAACACCCAGTACGCATAACAAAAAAAAATTCTAATATCCTATAACTCATTTACTCCCATACTAAGAGAATTCAAACTTTTTCAATTATGCCTTAATCATATACTAAATCATAATCTAAATACAAACTAATATTAGTGCTACAAGGAAAACAATGATTGTTAATTTGTTTCCTTGACAATAAAATATATAAATATATATAAAAAGTGCCAAAAACAAAATATATCTTACATCATATATATATTAATTTTATTCCAAAACTTTAAAGGGGTTGCCGCTAGCCCTTTAACCCAAATGATCCTCCATCGTTGACCATTCTTAATAGTCATAATCAAACTAAATAGGCTTAAGGAAATCTATGCTATTGGCGCAATGGCATAGCCACTACTAGCCATATGGAATTCACTCAATGGGGCTGTATTCATATCCCACCAACTCCCCTCCCATTTTCCCATCTCTTCAGTCTCCTTATAGTTCTAATAAATTACCTATGTTTAAAAAAAAAAACCTAGACAGGCTTAAGATTGAGAAAATCATTGATCTCTTCTACTACTCTATATGGTGCCTCCCTCATACCGTATATATGAGTCATATGATGGTTTCTTATGTCATTTTCCTTTCTTTTTTTTTTTTTTTTTGAATAGA